TTTCAGTGGTCCAGTTTGGTTTCATCACTTTGTTTGTGGCCTCCTTCCCCCTGGCGCCACTCCTGGCTCTGTTCAACAACATCTTGGAGATCAGGGTGGACGCCTGGAAGTTCACCACCCAGTTCAGACGACCAGTGGCATCCAAGGCCCGAAACATCGGAGCGTGGCAGGAAATCCTCAACGCAGTGGCCATTTTGTCTGTTGTTACCAATGTGAGTGTTGTATGTGCAGTAGTGTAGGAGCATTTCAGTAACATTCAGCACGTTTTTGCCTAATCTGATCTTGTATTTTCATATATAATTAATGTTTTTGGATTATACATTTTTGCACTGTTTGTGAACAATGACTTGATGCAATAAAAAAATCTAATTCAGGATGATCATCAAACTAACCCTTTTTTATAGCAGATGCAAATATTTCATTGAAAGCTTTTTGTGCTTACTTTTGTTCCAGGCTTTCATAATGGCATTTACCTCAGATATGATCCCCCGTATGGTCTACCTCTATGTCTACGGGAAAGGCAGCATGAGTGGCTACATAAACAACAGCCTGTCAATATACAAAATATCACAGATGCAGATAGACAATGTACCAGAGGAACAAGACTACTCGTTTGATAACTCAACCACCACCTGCAGGTATTAGAGCTTAAAAAGCTTGTTATGCATCTGACTTTAGCTTATTTTTATGTTTTTGAGGAGCTTTAAAGCTGCACTTCTTTTATATAAACAACTGGTCAAGTGTCTATGGGTAATGTGACAGAGGTTGCTCTTAGTGACAATACCACAGAAAAATTATCACCAGACTCTGCAGTTCCTCTCAGTCCTATGGAGCATTTTAGCATCTTTCAGTTTTGGTTTTATAGCCACACTTCTGTTTTGATTAAGTCTTAACAGGCTGTACCCACTGAAGACTATGACAAACAAACAGACAGACAAGTTTAGCAACTAGCTGGTGAACATAGTAGAGCATTTAGCAGCTAAAGAGACAGATATTTCCTTCAAGAGTCAATGGAAATCAAGGACAGCGCTAAAACGAGGGTGAACATGACTTCAGAGAAATTATAGTGTCTTTCATGTTTTGTATGCCAGTGTGTTGGTCATTGTTGGGCAGAGTAGTACAACTGGTCATCTGAATGAATACCTTTTGTTTTAATTCAAGAATTATAATGCTAATATTAGTTGTTTGAACTATTTGAGCAGAGATGTTTTGGAGTTCTATAGCACTTACCAACGTGTACTAGTACCAACACTAGTACACGTTGATGCATTAATGAAACATTACTGATTGAGGATGTGTGTTTGTGTTTTGTACAGATACCGTGACTACCGTTACCCTCCAGGCCACGAGAGGGAGTACACTCACACCATGTGGTTCTGGCACATTCTGGCTGCCAAAATGGCCTTCATTATTATCATGGAAGTAAGACAATATAGATATTTTCCTGCACTTCTTACTCAAAGAATAAATGCTCAGAATGAATGTAGAAGCCTAATATATCTTTACCATAATCAACTATTCTTTCTTTGCAGCATGTGGTCTTTGTGGTGAAGTTTTTCGTGGCGTGGCTGATCCCGGATGTCCCGTCAGATGTGACAGCAAGGATTAAACGAGAACGCTACCTAATTCAAGAGTACCTGCATAACTACGAGGTGGAGAGGCTCAAACTCCAGCTGAGTGCCAGTTTCATCACAGAGCCACCGTCAGAAATCTCCTTGATGTCAGACAAGCACGAATTGTTGTCTGAGTGCCTGTAGCTTCTGCTTCACACCTCCAACCAGCCAAGCCAAGAATGGACAATGTCTGGGAGTTTTAACCTGCTAAACAAGAACATCTATATACAGTGCAAGGGCTTCTGTGTTTGGGATAAAAATGCTATTATGTTTTCTCTCTGAATGGACTCCTATATTAGGATTTGCCAAGAGGCATCAGAAAAAAAACCAATTTCACTTTTCTTAAAATCATCTTCTTGATTGAGTGAAACATTTCTGTGCCATAAAAAATGTTTTTGGAAAGTGTAGTGATGGAAAATAACAGCAAAGTGTAAAAAAGACTGCGGCTTGTACGGTTCCCCATGTAATGCCTTCAGACTCTCTGTTTGTCATGAGTGAAAAAAATATCTCTGTATTTGCTGATAGAGTTAAAGTTTGTGGTGTTGTAACATTAGGTGTAATTACCCTTTAAAGAGTTTGGTTATGATACAATCCATTTTTACTTTCTGCATGTGATTTCTAATACAAGATGAAGGACTGTTCAGACAAGAGGATGTGTCAGTTGCAAATGTTGTACAGCAATTGTGGTTAAGATAATTCACATAATTTAAGGTGTTTTACATCACACCGCCTTTATCTGCCATTTAACTATAAATATAAAAAACATCTAATATGAAACACATCTATATATTAACAAGTGAAGAGGCAGTGCTTATTCCTCAGACAACTTGACTGTGTTTCTTTTTAAATAATTTTTAATAAGTGGTAGCAACACAACCTTTAGTTCCACTGATCTATAGCTGGGCTATATAATTGTCTGTTTTGTTATGTGAGTCTATTATGTTTAGAGAAAAGCTCTTAAAAACTGCACGTGACAACCAAATACTTCCATTACACTGCAGTTATAATGTAACAATCAGAGGTGTGGTGTTAATCCATCCGATCCACCCTGAGTCAGTTAGTAATGTGGTGAGACAGCAGCAGCAGGCTCATGTCTGACAAATGTATTTCCAAATTGCTGCAGGACCAATAACAAGATTTTTATCAATGGAAATCAGATCTTCTGTTTTAATACAATCCCTTTGTAAGTTTAGACTGATCGTGTGTCAGCTTTCCTCCTTCTGTTACATATAGTTATTAAAATGCCTATGTTTTCAGATTGCAGATCATTGGTGTCTCCGTATACTGTAGGTATAAACAGTTGTAAACTTTATTTCTGAGATATACAGAAAGGACAAACACTTCTTGTACTCTGGTTGGGATATGTGTGTGAAGATTTCAGTGAAAAATATGACTCTAGCTGGTTACAAAGTGTTGCTGTAGATATAGAGAATGTTATCTAATTAATGTATTGAGCGGTGTCTGCTCTGTAGTAGTAGATTTATTTTATAATAATCTTTTTCAGATTTTCTTATACATTTTAATGCAACAACTGATTTCTTATTTTTTATTTATCATCTCATAAATGACCACCAAGCAGTGTTAGTTCAGACTGTTCAAGTACATTTTATGCTATAAATTACTACTTTGTCAAGGGACCAGCCAATTAAAAAACTGCGCATTCTCTGACAAAGATCTGTTTATATTCCTTTACAGTATATTAGTCATTTATTGGTTACAGTATAGCTTTTTTATCTTCTCAAGAGTAACTTTTAGATATTTCCGTGTTTATATTGAAGTCTCTTTGTAATTTAAACTGTAAATGATGCAGTTGTGATTTCAACTATCAGCAAATTATATTTTATATTTGTCAAAATCTAAGCCTGGCTTACTCTAATCTCAGGACTAAATGTCTTCTAATGTTTGTTGATCATCACCTGTTGATACAGAGAGCAGATGCATTCTGATGGTTAGAGCATGATCCTGCACCGTGCAGGTTGTATTTCCCAACAAACAAATGCCTTAAACATCTGTGTTTACTTTTTTATATGATTTTGTAATGAAAAAGTTTCCTATCTGAATTCAAAACCTGTTTCATATCATTTGTTGCTGCTACTAGTCACTGCAAAGTATTTGTTTTATCTGATTTGTACATCCGTTATGTTGTGTTAAGTTCATTGTAGCCCATTGTACAGAAATGCAGTAACACTATTAATATTCACAACAAATAAAGACATAACTAGTTTTTGTTATGAGTTTTATTTGCACTTAGCCATGCAAAAACACAAAATCAGATACCAAAACTCAAACACATGTGAGAGGGGAGGTCAAGACAAAAGCTTATATCTTCCCCCAACTTAAAGATCTCTTCGAAATGTGTGTTAAGACAAATTCTCTGAATAATAATTAGTGTCTAATTAGGTTTTTCCCACATAAAAGTTAAATAAACTATTCACAAAAAACTCTTGCTAGTTTGCCCTTATTGAAAAGTTTAGAATATATAAATATGTAAATATTGCTCATTTGAAACATTTATACTGGACACGAAACGCCACCTGCTTCAAGTCCATTCTCATTATTTACATTTGGTGTGCGTTGAAACTGGAGCAGGATTGGCTTTCAAACTATTTGTGGTGTCAAGTTAAGCGCAGAGAAACTTTCCTCTTTGAATGGGGGTGAGTTTAAGAAAACAAAAAAACTGCACTAATATATAAAAACATGATTTAGCTAAATACATATGTGTGCACTGAAAACAAATAACAATAAGACACAAAATGAACGCAAGAATTCTGCCCTAAGGTGCAGTGTTATGTGCGACCACCAGATGGTGCCCAATACCAACAAATGACAAGAAAGACACTGGTCGTTTTGCATCTTTGTCTTCTAATCGCACATCTAAATATATTGCCTTTAAAATATAAAACACATTATTATTATTATTATTTGTATTATTTGTATTATTTTACTAAATGTGGTCCGCAAATACTGGCCTATATGTATATCCTATATATCTTACTTCAAATCTCACAAAATGTAAAAAAAAACAATGCTTACAAAATTATGTTCATGCCTCTGTGGGAGGATGTGGATATCGAGGGAGGAATGGGGGTGAAAATATGGGAAACGCTTAAATTATTAAGGGAGGTTGTTGGGGGGAAATCCACTCCTCCCATTTGGTTTCCATAGCACCGCTCTCAAGAGAGCTGCAGCTCATACATAGGGCTGTATGCCTATTTAAAAAAAAAAATAAAGAAAATAAAAACTTTTTAAGCATCAAAATGCCAAACAAAAATATATAATCGAAAGAGAGCTGCATTATATCTAACATTATTTAGGCTGTGATATAAAGCGATCGATTGAGCTATAAAACACCCCTCTCCCCAGCCCTCCCCAAGTGTTTTATGAAATGACTTAAAACAGGCTCACATATGCGCATTTGCATGTGATGTTTTGGTATATTTTATATTTTTACTCTGGCCTTCATTTGTGCTGAGCAGCTGGCCAGATGTTGGACGCGGTGCAGCTGTCGCTGACCTTGGTGCTGAACACGACGTCAGATGAACCTGCGCTCACCACAGGAGACACGATCCAGCCTCACTCCCTCTTTGATTTATTGAAGCTACTCCAAACACCCACTTCTGCTTTCTAAACTTTGAGCTATTTTATTTTTCCATTCATCCTCTTTCCCTTTGTTCTTTTGCTTTTGTTGCGGACACGGGTCCACAATGCTCTACGACGCTGGCTCTCCGTTTCGCTCCTTTCTGTTTTCCTCGTGATGGCACTTGACGCGGCTACCGTACGCGAGGCAGGAGAGGAGCTGGTGGTGGATGAAAGCGCACAGCTCGCTTGATTCCCCTTCTTTACTCGAAGGTGTTTTCGCTTGAGCATTTTCAGTGTAAACATTAGACTCGTTCTTTTGGACCGTCGTCTCCCTGGACTCAGATTTATTATAACTTCGTTTGTTGTTTTCCTTTTAGTCGCTGCAGTCGGCCATCCTGCAACGTAACATGACGATTAAGCAGTAAGATAATATTGAGAAATAGGCCCACACATAGAAACTGGATATGGAGTCAGTGAAGACGAGAGCCACAGCGGGGGTGAAGGAATTTGCAGGGAAGGCCCTGGGTCAAATGCACAGGTAAGGACACGCATTTTCTCCCCATCTTAATTGGCGCGTGCCAATTTCCTCGGATTAAAGTGTAATCGTTTGCATGCTTGATTTTAGCAGTGTGGTGGTGTAGGTCACCGAACATTTGTTTTACAACTTACACAGATCTCCAGTCACGCCTCTGGAAGTGAGAAGAAAATTATGCAATCAAACGTGTGTGTGCGTGCGTGTATGTGTGCGTGTATGTGTGTGTGTGTGTGTGTGTGTGTGTGTGTGTGTGTGTGTGTGTGTGTACCTGGATGAAAGCCTGCACACTGTCAGTCCATCCTCATGCGGCCTGTACGTGGATCTCATTAGCAGACAGGTTATAGAGGACGTGCAGGCCACGCGTGAATTTTTTCGAGATTCATTTATAATTCATAACTCATTTCATAATACATTTAAAGGCAGTGACGCACAGATGATGCCAATCTGTGTCTCTTCATTTAAATCTATCAATTTGACTTTTTTAAGTGACAGGATGTCTATGGGGTTTCCTTAACACATCTTGCCAGTATCTGCATCTGCAACTGAATGAATAACAATGTAGACTCTCGGCCATATTTAGATTATTATTTATTACCTTATGAATTAATATTCCATGTCTTTAAAGTATTTTGGGTGCATTTCCTGTGGGTATACCCTTAAAATAGAAATCCAGTAAAAACTGAAGCAAATCTATTAATGAGCAGGGGACGTTCGGCTTCAATGAGGCTTTTCAGAAAAAAACTATACTACTACTTTATGAGGCGCAATCTATCTAAAAATCGGGCATTTCACTGCAAAGTTATGCTTCAGTTTGTATTTTATTTGATTATTTTCCGGTCATATGTAATTTGCCCCGTTATTTTTCATCCGTTTGACAAAGGCGTTTAAGTGTGTAGATTTTTATTTCGTTTTGCAGCCTGGATTTGGACAAACAAAGTGTGGCGAGTAAATGTAACTTTCCGGGGGAGGGGATAGGAATGCCCACAGACATGTGTCTGAAGGTTGGAGCCACTGCTCGTTGCCGTGAATGCTAATGAGTGTGGAAGTGAGCGGGCTGCTGCAATGCGGTACAGTCTGGGACATGTTCGCCTATTTTCAGCTACTTTGTATTTCCTTTTCATATAATTTTCTTAAATGCAAATACAGGTGAACGTATTTGGTTTTAATCCGTTGCTCATGTCTCTTAAATCATCTGATTTGAGCTTCATAGATTATGAAACTCCTTGACAGTGAGACAGACAAAAATCTTCTCCAGTAAGAGGCCTCACCACCCGTACAGCTGGTCGATTTTGGGTGCTTTTGTGAGAATTGCCTCTTGAATTTTTGTTGACTGAAAATACAAGAAATCTTAGATTTGCACACAAGCTTCCAAGTATTTAGTCCATAATGAAATAGCCTATTCAAAATGGAAATACAAACGGGCCTCCTTAGAAATATTTTTCATTACAGGGGGAATTTTAGATTTCTGTAGGGTGCTCATCTCATATGATCACATTTTATCCGAAGACACCTGCTAGACACTGTCCTCACCTGACTGTTGCAGGGTAATAGAGAGGAGACAGAAAACCGGGGAGGTGATCGAGCTGACGGAGGATGGACGGCCCCGGGAGGCCGCGGAGAAGAAAACCCCGCTGTGCGACTGTAAGTGCTTCGGTCTGCCCCGCCGCTACATCATCGCCATCCTGAGCGGCCTGGGCTTCTGCATCTCCTTCGGTATCCGGTGTAACCTGGGCGTGGCCATAGTGGGCATGGTCAACAACAGCACCATGCACCAGAACGGCAAGATCATCATCAAAGAGGTGTGGCGACAGCAGCGTGAGCTCCTGACGTAAAAAAAAAAAATACCCAACGCGGACTGCACGCATCCAGACACAAGACATGACCCTTATTATAGCAAGAAAAAGAAAGGGAGGAGTAGGAAGATTATTAATTCCTTCACACATGGGATACGTAGATAATATGTAAGGCCTGTCATATTAGGCCAGAAAATCACTAAGCCTGAATGGTCCCCAGTAGTCATAGCTGATGAGCTTTTTACAATGTAACAGGGTATTTGTGCATAAGAAATGTTTTAAAAGGCCTACGATATTTTAAAACATGCCCAAATCACAAATGCGCTATAGAAATGGACCTGTGTTCAGCTTGCGTTTAGAATTTAGTGTTTGGATGACATATGATGCAATTTTAAAAAGATCATACGCATCTCTGTATACAGACATGAGGATATATCCTGTTTGTGAAGACTAAATCATGTACAGATGTAACGGGTGACGCTTAACCTATTCTAAAGTATAAGATCTGCTACTTGCATAAAGGGCAAATTTGTGCAAAAATAAAAGTCGCATGCATCTTTCAGAATGTGTCTCAACATGTGAAATCAAAGTAGCCTCATTTATATTTAGGCAAAAAGGGCGCATAGGACCTGTAGCCGTTTAATGTTTTTGCGTTTAGGCCAAATGTTGGCCAAATAATTAATCTACATCCGACACACACAGCTATTTAGTTTCCGCACAGCTTCTCAGCAGTTTTTCCTTGACAGTGCAGGACATGAATGATTTTGGTGATTGGATCAATGTCATCTGATCGAAATAAACCGTTGCAGGGCTTTAGTAAAGAGGCCTGCCTTCAAGATCAATTCATTCAGAGAATAGGCTACATGTTTGTCGTTTGTTTCTTGAATGATAGCCTAAATAGGCTATATAGTAGCCTCCAACAGTGGTCATTCAACATCATTCCGTTTTCCATATTATCCACCAGAAAGCAAAGTTCAACTGGGATCCAGAAACGGTGGGAATGATTCACGGATCTTTTTTCTGGGGCTACATCGTGACACAAATCCCGGGAGGTTATATATCCTCCAGGCTGGCAGCAAACAGGTAGGCGGCACTCCCCGTGAAAGAGGCTACCATAAATAGCCTACAACACAACGACATTCATTTGGCTGAGAATCATTATGATTTTTTTGCCTATTAAACTAAATTACTCAACAGTTGGCGTGACCGGTTTCCTATCACTCTCATTCTGTATGTGTTTCCTGTCTTTGCTATTTTTAAAATACGTGGGAAACGAAAGTGAACACATGGGTACTGGAATATATTTCGGGGGGGGTGAAGAACACCGCCAAGTCAGACATAAAAATGCTGTCGTTCTTGTCTGAATTATGAATTGGATGAGCAGTTCACATTTAAAGGCTGAGTATCACTGGGCTACATAAAGGCAGCAGGCAGTCAGCTGCTCTGACTTGATGCAGAGCGGCGGGGAGGGCACCGGGCTGGCAGGCCTGCAGCTCCCGGTGTCAGGGCTTTCTGCCACCTGTTAATGAGCTCCCTGGGGGGACCCGGGTCTAATCTATCGCTCTCTCAGGGCGTGGAGACCAGACCCTGTCTTGTCGCCAAAGGCTTTAATTCTCATGAGCACTGCCAATTCGTCACTCATCACAATTAGGCTACGTTATATTACATACACTATAATATTAATACCACGCCGCATTTTTTTAGGGATTGAATGTTGATGTTTATCACTGCTGTAAATTGATAATTTAATCGTTACTGGTAGCCTATCACAACCATAAAGGCAAAATGCTTCCGCTTATAGCTCAACATTAGAGGCCTAAATCTTGAGCAGGCTATAATGAACGTTATAAATTATAAAAAGGCACAACAATTGCCAAATATTAGCCTAATATTATAAAAGAGTGCAAACAGGAGAGTCAGTTAAATAGCCTAGGCTGCAGCTTAATTTTAATGTAGCCTAGGTCTATCACCATTTAAAAACATGTTTAGGCCTATTTTCCTGCATCCTGCTACTCGCACTGTTGATTGACACGAGGATGTAATCGAATCAATTGGTCTCGTGCCCAACAGTAGTCTCAACCGGATTAGGGCTTGCCCCCCGCGTGCAGATGAGAGGGGCGGTAGAACGTGACATAAATGAGAAATAGCTCGGTGTTCATGGATGGCCCCGGCCCTCCCTGCTTCTGGCTGCACTTGCGCGCAGCTGCTCCTTCGCGGTTAAAAATAACCTACCTTTCTCCAACCTTTAAGGACGAAACAAAGAAGAAACATATAATGTCTTAATGATTCCTTGCAGCCTATGTTCAATCTGTAAGAATTGACACTGCATTAAGGTGTGAGATTCTAACAAGCAGTGACAGACAATTAGCAAGTTATAGCCTAATAGCCTATAAATGTTGTAAAAAAAAAAAAAATAAAGAAAGAAAAAAAAAGTGTGTTTGCTTCTATTTCTTCTACAAGCAGTGACAGACAATTAGCAAGTTATAGCCTAATAGCCTACAAATTTTGTAAAAAAAAAAAAAAAAAAGAAGAAGAAATAAATAAAAATAAAAAGTGTGTTTGCTTCTATTTCAATCTCATTGAAATAGAAGCAAGCAACGTCATTCATTCATAAAAAAACATATTTCTTGGACAGAGAAAATGGTTGCTAAGCGACACCCGGCCTACCTATCTACACTGATAATGGGGCGTCGCTGCTTGAAAAAAAATCATTATTTTTCTGACGTAGGAGGAGCGGGTGTGGCGAAGGGCCAATCAGAACGGAGGACACAAAAAAACGTAGGCTAAGAACCGCGTCGTGCGTGCAGTGATGATTAAACACAACAGGTTTTAAATGTGACAGATTCATGTTCTTTCCAAAAGGAGATAAAGACAAAGAGACTTTTAATGGCCTTTCATGTAAAGAGATTGTGTTTCATGGATATTTTTAGAAACGTGTAGCTAATTGAAAAAAATCCAAGACCAATAATATTTTATAACATTTTCCTCTGAATGAAAGTATATTTCATCTAATGTGATGTTTCAATGCACTGCTCCATGTCACAATGGCACAAAGCTGAAATATGTTAATGCCACACATTCAGTTCAGTTGAAATAATTATGAGTTGCTATATAAAAAGCTATTTTTAAAACACACCTTTATCACTTTCAGGGTATTTGGAGCAGCTATTGTTCTGACGTCGATTCTCAACATGTTCATTCCCTCAGCTGCCCGAGTACATTATGGGTGTGTCATCTTTGTCAGGATATTACAAGGGCTGGTGGAGGTAAGAGAATGTTAATGTCTAAAGGTCTATCACAACATTTTTAAATCTTTCTTTCTTTTTAATAAGAATTGCAGTGTGTGACGGATTTAGGCCTAATGTCTTCACAATTAACATATTCTCAATATTAATGGAACTAGAAGGTTACTGATGTGACTTTCTGTTATTATGACTATCAATAGCTGGATTTTTGCAATACTGCACTATACAAAGGGACTTCCTGCACATTCTACTCCACTAGAAAACAAAGAAAAGACTGTAACATGCACTGAATATTCAACCAGAGGAAATGTGAGACCAGCTGTATTGATCCAGTCCACTACAGTTGAGTGTTTGTGGGACATTCCAGCTTCCATTCCAGCTTCCTTTTGTTTTTTGCAGTCACATCTTGTATTCTTGTATCCTGCAGAAAAGTGCTGGTAGATTGAAAGATGAAAAGGAAAACACTGGCAAAAGCATATCAGTCACCAGGCTTGTGAAACATGGCACCCAGATGTCTACCTGCTGCACAGTTAATCTATGCATATTAAAATTAGTCTGTTACAGTACAAAATACAGAAAGCTGATACTACATTTCTCACATGTGCAAATAAAACTGGACATCATCTGTAAAAGTATGAGATCATTTCTAAGAACAAAGGGATGTCTGGCTGAAAAATTTTCATCATTTCAATGTTTTGGTGATAGATAATTCTTCCATCAGAAGTGCGTCTCTGTTGAAGGCTAGATTATAGTTTGTAGAGAATAAATAAAAACAGTCTAATATATTAATTGAAATAATTAATCTTTTAAAGACGGGTGACAATGCACTGATTTTGTAATGAAGTCTGTGCAGATTGCATTTTTCGTCACTGCAGTTTGTTCAAATTAGTGGCTGATGAACATTTAATAGCTGCAGGGCTGCTCTGCTGCATGAACAGCTCATCAGGTCCTCTTTGCTCACGGCACTGTGCAGTTTGCTCATGTTAATTACAAGGGTGAAAATGTTAATTCATATTAGTTATTATATGAAATGTCTGTCGGTTCATGATCACATCTAAAAGGGTAATCCCTCATAGATTGTTTGTCTACACTAAACTCATTATAATGCCTTTGTAATATTTGAGACCAGTATTTGCTGGAACAATACTGTGTTGGATGCATCAAATATGGGTGCAATCTAATTGATGCACCCATCTATAATTTGTTCATTGTACAAACCTATGTATTTATTTTAACACATTGGTAGGTTGGATTTAAATCATTGTGCTTGAGGGAACCAATCCCCTACTGGATTCTGGGATGCCAGAAATGGCAGACATGGGGTATCGACCACTCTCATTATATACATGAATATCCAAAACAAACTGTTCATATCGTATCATAAAGACTCAAAATCATAGGCTTAAGAACATGGACTTCCAGTCTGCAGCTATCTTTTTTATGCATGTTTCTTTACCGGGAATTAATGCAGACTGTTGCTGTGTGGTGTGTTTAGGGAGTGACCTACCCGGCCTGTCATGGCATCTGGAGTAAGTGGGCTCCTCCACTGGAAAGGAGTCGTTTGGCCACCATCTCGTTCTGTGGTAAATACCTATCTATCATTTTCTCTTATTGGCATTTATAATTTGGGTTCAGAATTGATGTGTTGCATATAACTGTGTTGAGCTCCCGAGCTTTGACCCCCTTATCTTGCTGTCTGTCAGGCTCTTATGCTGGTGCTGTGATAGCGATGCCTATGGCTGGGATCCTGGTTCAGTACTCAGGCTGGTCCTCAGTGTTTTATGTCTATGGTAAGACTGATCGATGAGGGCTTGCGTGTGATACATCTATGTGTGTCTGTATGAGTGGTAGCACAGGGGAATGGGACATGAGGAACAATTCTGCAGCGCTATGCAGAAAAAAAGTATGTAACTACAGTATGTGTCAAAAAATGTTTGGCTAAAGTGTTTTTAAGCTTGGTTTAAACCTAAAGGTTTTGACTCTCAGAATGTCCAGTGAAAGTCAAATGGATTCATCCAGGCACACTGTGTATTGATCCCCCCCCCCCCCCCACACACACACATGTTTTGGTGTGTCAATAAATAACCCCCAGTCTCTCTCTGTACTGAATCCTGTCTGGGTTTTATTCTCTCAGGCATTTTGTAAAGATCAGGCTGCCAGACACTATGTGTGTGTACTACTTACTGCTGAGGTCAAAATTAGCTACAGTACTTCATCTATAATTTTCTAAAGTTCTAACATGTGATCTGTCTGTCATATGCAGGATGTGTTGGCATCGTCTGGTATATGTTTTGGGTCCTTGTGTCTTACGAGAGCCCAGCTGAACATCCTACCATCTCTGATGAGGAACGCTGCTACATTGAGGAGAGCATTGGAGAGAGTGCGAAGCTAATGGGTCCTTCGGAGGTGAGGGCTTTATCAATCCTTGGTGTTGTAACTAGAAGTACCAACACTTTACTAAACTACAGTTTTATCAGCCATTTCCATCAACTTTTGTCTTTTGTCAGAGAGGCAATATCAAACAGGCAATGCATATTCATGTGTCATTTGTTTGTGATCATCTATCCCAGAAATTCAAGACCCCCTGGAAGAAGTTCTTCACCTCTATGCCTGTCTATGCAATCATCGTGGCCAACTTCTGCAGGAGCTGGACATTTTACCTGCTGCTGATTAGCCAGCCTGCATACTTTGAGGAAGTGTTTGGCTTTGAGATAAGTAAGGTGAGCTTAAAATACAAATCAGTGGACAAGTGTGATTCAATTCAAATCTATGGGGAAAGAACAGAGTACTGTTTTAGAGCCAGACATTGGGCCAAGCATGTGATACTTTTGCTCTTGGAATCAGTCATTAAAATAATGTGGTGGCCTGTGGTTCTTTCTCATAAACTGACATTGCAGCATCAGTTCACAAACGATACAAAACACTGTCAAAGTGACCGCTGCCACAAGACATTAATGGGTTTTGTTAAGGTAATTTTAAGTATTGAATACTTAAAATATTCTTCACTAAATAAGCAACAATAGAAGTTGAAGCTTGGAGAAAAAAACACATTAGTTAATAATTAAGACAATAACACTCAGACACTCTCTCTATTTACTGTATAGTACACAACACTTGCCTTTTCCTCTATTTTTTATCTAAGTGTGAAAAGTATGTAAAAGTAAGAATTCTCCCAATTAAAACAAAAAAAATGTGTCCATGGTGTGTACACTACTTTCGACTAACACTGCACTTGTTGGTTGTAACTCTAAATTAAGTATGTATTTCCTCAAGAGGCATAATACATTTATTGTGCTGCCATATCATGCTGCAGCTGATTTGATGTTTTTTCTGTATGTGGTTGTAGGTGGGCATGCTGTCTGCCCTGCCCCATTTGGTGATGACCATCATTGTGCCCATCGGCGGCCAGCTGGCCGACTACCTACGCAGCAGGAACATCATGACAACCACCACTGTCAGGAAAATCATGAACTGTGGAGGTGAGAAGTCTGAACCGAGGATGAAATATAATTTTCCACACCTCTCCCTCCACAGCGACCGGGTGTTACTTTTATGGTGTTAGATCCATTCTGCTCTTTTTTTTCAGTTGTCCTTCACCGCCAGAAGAGATGGTTCTGTTTATATTTTGTAAAAATCTATCTGTTCAATAAGTATACACAAGTTGACTCGCTGACTGTGACTGTGAATTGATTTCATTTCTGTCACTTATGTAATTGAGTGCAGACCATGTATCATGCTTAATTCAATTGGCACTGTAATGACCAACAGCCCGGGCTTTGTGTGTGTGTGTGTGTGACCTGCTGTCTGTCTCGGTTAGGATTTGGCATGGAAGCCACATTGCTGCTGGTGGTAGGATATTCCCACAGCAAAGGGGTGGCAATTTCTTTCCTGGTGCTGGCAGTGGGCTTCAGTGGATTTGCTATATCAGGTTAGTACAAATAAAACACACTTTGAGCTCAATCAGAATATAATTTAGGTACAATTCAAGATATGATATACTGTAATTAAAATGATGTCATCACTGTAATGTTGTGAGGCCTTGGTGCCTCATTTGAAGGGAATATGTGAATAGAATACCTTTCACATCAACAGCTGTTGGTGCTACTGTATTGTTTCTTGACACAATTTTCAAAATGAGCCATTCTATTGTAAAGAAAGTTTCATGAAATTGAAAGTATAGTTAGAGGAACTGTTCCATATTTTTGGGAATTAAGCTTATTTGCTTTCTTACTGAGCATTAGATGAGAAGATTGATACCACTCTCATACTTATATACTAAATATGAAGCAGCAGAAGAAGAAGGAGATGGTTAGTGTAGCTTAGTACAAAGACTGGAAATGGGGAAACAGCTAGCTCTTTCCAATGGTGTCAAAATTACCAGTATCTCTAAAGCTCACTAATTAACATGTGTCCTTTATTGAATTACTACAAAACCAAAGAGTAAAGCAACAAGTTGTGGTTTTACAGGTGGTTATGTGTCGAACTGTTTCTTGGTTGGGTGCAAGAAGACCTTTGGACCGTTGTACAGCGCCAGGCTAGCTATTTTCTCGAATCCCAGTCGTTAAGCTAAACTAAGCTAACTTTCTCCTGGATGTATCTTCATATTCACCCTGCAGATATTCTCATCTGAGAGAGAGCAAGCATATTATCTAGCTAATATAATATTACCATATTATCTAAAATATCAAACTATTTGTTTAATTTAGAGTTAATAGCAGCCCGTACTTCTAGTGTAAAATTGCACTAATACTCTGGCCGTTAATCTGAAAATGGGAGTTGCTTTTTATATAATTTCACTAAAGGGGTAATGAAGTTATGCTAGACCACTAGTTTGAGTTGTAGTGAACGAGTGCAACTACCAACTACTGTATATCTGTCTATATATAGTGAAGGCATGTTGTATTGTCTGGGTTAATGTACAAAGTAGTGTGTGTATAACCATTTCCTTTGATGATAAGATGAGATTGTTAGTTTATATGTTCTGTGTAGACCGGCAGCTAGTGTGGAGATTATAAGATATTATAATAAAAGTTGGCAATTACATACAATCTTGTCAACATCCCAATCAATTATATGGTTGCTGTTATTGGATATGATGTGACAGATGGATCCAGTACTGAATGTTATTTTTTTTTTTTTTTAATTGTATTTGCAACACCAAAATAACACCACCAGCGAGCTTAATCAATATAATCAACATAAGGACTTCCTTAAGACATCAGATTTCAGATATTATTTAACACTTTTTTCACTGGCTGGCAAAATGAATATTTCAGCTTTTTTCTGCAATTAATTCAACAAAGCTTTCCCGTTTATGCTTAGTTACAGAGGACGCAGAGGTCTGTGACTGTGTGCAAAATCAGTTTCTTGCCTGTTGTTCTTGAGGTTTCTCGTGGAGCGTTTAATAATTCAGCACTATTGCGGTCCCGGGGGATTTGCCAGGCAGGCAGTGTGAGGTAGCTCGCGAGGACACTGATTCATTCAGCCAGCCAGAGTGGGGGAGGAGGTGGATGTGGGGCGAGTAGCCGCCCATTTCTGAAGCAAGATGGTCACTATTTGTGCTGCTTTTATCCACAACAGAGTCCTGCTTCTGTTACTTCCTCCTGTTATTACTTGATACATAATGTCACAGTGTTTTCCTCAATTTGGCATTTGAATCTGGTTGCCCGACATTGTCAAAATTCTCAAAGGTAAAATTCATCAACAATAATACAATTTTACATTTTCTTTTTGTGCTTCATCAGGCTTTAATGTCAATCACCTGGACATCGCTCCACGCTATGCCAGTATCTTAATGGGCATCTCTAACGGTGTGGGTACTCTGTCTGGGATGGTGTGCCCACTGATTGTTGGTACGATGACAAAGAACAAGGTAAGGGCTTTGCTAATAAAGATCCTCTTGTTTCACGTGTGTCTTAAAGAAGACCTAAATAAGTTGGCAACCATTTATTTTCATAAGTGGTAGAGTAAACATGTATAAATGCTTTATATTCACATGAAAACATTTTTTTTTTACATTAATGCACTTGTCAACAACTATAACTCCTCCTGTGTATCATCCATAAGTGGAGGCTGAGTTATGAACAGGTGAATGACAATATAGCAAAACACAGTTATGCAATGTTAATATGTATGCAATGTAATACTATAGGAAAAGTTTTAATTGTTGGCAAATACTGTACATAAAAATGACCTTATAGCTAGATTAATTATTAGTAAGATGTTATACTTGTCATAGAGCACTGCCTCTTCTTGTAATCTCACATTGTATGTAGTAGTATATATATATATATATTCTGTATCAGCTTGTTCCAACTCTTTATTGAAGCTACATTATATGATATTCACGTTTGGTAAAATAGTCAATCCCAAGACTCATGTAACCCAATTTGAATAGTTTGTGGACAACAACACAGCCAGACCATACTTCTAAGTAGGATATGTTTATAATTGTATTTTAATTATTTTCACAGGATTTTCTGACAATAAGAAAATCTGTAAAACATCTGTAGTTGCCTTTAAGGTAAAAACAACTTTTAGTTTTTCTGCTGTTCTGTCCTTTTCAGACTCGAGAGGAGTGGCAGTATGTGTTCCTGATTGCCTCCATGGTGCATTATGGGGGTGTGATCTTCTATGGGATCTTTGCGTCGGGAGAAAAGCAGCCGTGGGCCGACCCGGAACTGACCAGCGAGGAGAAGTGTGGCTTCATAGATGAGGACGAGCTGGCAGAAGAGACGGGCGACATCACTCAAAGTTATGGTGCCTTTGGAGGTCCGGCTAAGTCGTACGGTGCAACCACACAGGTGAATGGAGGCTGGGCTACAGGCTGGGAGAAGACGGAGGAGTACGTCCAGGAAGAAGCACAGGGCGGAGGCTACGGATACAGGCAGGATGAGGGATACTCCTAGACCAAACATACATTCACCGACACGAGTAGACTTGTTTTTTTGAGTGTGCATCAGCTTAGTCAAGAAAAATATCAAATAACAAATGAGAAACAAGAAAAACTACAATCCATTGTTGTATTATTTGCACAAATTTTAAAAGTAAATCTAAAAAATTATTAATTAATGTAAAAGATTACTAAAATGTCTAAATATGTAAAGATATTTGATTGATAGAGGTGTAACACATATCAAATTGGCAGTCCGTAAATGTATTATTATGCATATCGATAATAGATATATTTATTTGGAGTGCAATTGTGCGTAAATGTGAACATTTTCATCCCATCAACCTAGGCTTCCTGACCACACTGAAGCCTGTAGGGTTACATAGAAGCTGCCCATCAGAACTGACCCCTTATTTATCAAATTAACTGTTACAATACAATGTCCTACAAGCCAGCCATTACAGTGTATAAATATGTCACTGCACAGCATTGTAAACAGAAACTAGACACTCTGATATAGATTGTACTGTATCTCTCCTGAATGCACTCAGAGTAGTGTGTCCTTTTAATGCACTTGATGATTTTTGTTTCCCTATCACCGGCTTCTGTGTGTGTAAAAGTCCTTCACAATGTAAGTGACCTAGTGTAAAGATTTGACGACGTGGCATAACGATTTGTGATGACTGTTTGGTTACACTTGCATAAAAGGTAAAAATGTTTGTCAAATGTTTGCTACGTGTGATCCATTTTGCAACTCGGTACCTCTGCAGTTGAGCGTTTCATTTGAACTATTAGCAACCTGTCACATCTCAGCAGTGTAGTGGAGGAGTAAAGCCATTCTCATTATCATACTACTATACAGCCGCTAAAAGTGTAGTTGTACCAGTGCATTGTTGAAAGATTTGTCTTAAATAAAACATGAGATATGACAGAGCTAAAAGAGTAAACATGTATGAGAGTTTATAGATTCAATTTAGTCATTGTTAGATCAAGAGATTAATGCCTTGTGAAGGGTTTGTGCAATGCAAAGACGAGTCAAAAGCAGTATGAGATATACTTTATTATATTTATTATTAATCAGATTTTATTGACAGGCACCAAACATCTGACTCTGATTCAAATGTTGCCAAATTCTGACTGGTGCATGGAATTACATAATATACATAAGATACAAAATCTTTTTGCAGCTGAGCCCCACGCACTTCAAATGCACACAAAAAGAAGAAATACAGCAATCTGTCATATAAAATACCAAACGTGTTTTGACTTAAACGTAAGTGTCCATGCAGGATCCCATTGTTTAAAGCGAGAAGCTGATTGAGAAAGACTCTTTTTTAAAATGAGTTTAAAATGTCAAATGACACTATAGAAGTTGAATTGAAGATTCCCAATCAAGTATTTGAGTGTTTACATTTATCTATACTTTGCATAAAGTTCACCAAAACAGGACATTTATATTTCCAATTATAGAGAAGACACAACAGGAGGGGCTATCACACATATGTGCAATTTGGACAAACTTGGACATTTCCATTGCAGAATGGAAGTGAGATATTTTGTTAATGTACCTGTGTCTTTATTTACGGGAGTCTGGTAATGAAATATGTTTTAGGCTCCTGAAAAGAATTTGTTTTGTTCTCATTCTGCACTTACTCTGACAAGGTTTGAAGAGGGCCAATTTTATTTAATTTGTCACGTGTGTGCACTTCACAATGTATATGTGTGTGGATGTGTATTTATGCATGGAAAGTGAATTTGTAGTATGTCCATTTTGGGGGGGTTTCCTTTTCTTTCAAACTTATTTGTCTGTGTCTCAGAAACTGTTACTGATGCTTCAATTTCTTTGCACAATCAACCAAAGCTGAAAAGCAGAGCTGGGTTTTAGCTGTAAGTCAAACATTTTTAAGGGAGTACAGAACCATCAGCAGCAAGGTTCCAGAGTAAGGACACCCCCAGTGTGCTGGTGGCACCAAAACATTACTCAGTGTACAAAGCAATAAGTCCATAGTAACAGTTCTGGTCAAATGTCATGAACAGTCATTATGTAACCGTTTTTATGCATTTGGGTAAAAGTTGTGTTTTTTTGTGATAACAAATGTAGAAAAAACACAATTGTAAAGAAAAAAACATAAATATGTGTATGAAAATATAGTAATAGAGTCCAACACAAACATCTTTGACAACAAGCAAGTGCAAGGAGTTTGTGACGGGGCTGCTCACCAGATGAGAATGATAAAACGAGCTCCGTCCTAGAGGCGGATGCTCTTCATGTTTCTGTTTTTGTTTTGGTGTGTTCCACATGGGACTGTGTGCTGTCCCACCCCCTTCTTTTTAGTTTGATTAATGTTCTTCATTCGGTGGCTGGACCCTTGTTGCCCTACTTAACCACATGTACCTCCTCCTTTCCCTGTATGAGCCTGATTTCACTGTCACAATATTCATTGACGTTAAGGATAAAACCTAAACAGGCGATTCTACATTTTCAAAAATGACAAATGTGCAACCTGAAGTAGTAAAACGTTTCCTGTTTTTGTGCCTCTGAAGTTACAGTGTGATTCTATGGCTTCTGTTGCTGTGTAAATTGAGAGGTTTGTTGATGTCTAAATGAAATAATCTATATCCTGTTTTGATAAAAAAAAAGCAAACAAAGCTGTGTGTCCTGAGTGTTTGTACTGATAACAAATGAAAACAAGTAATGAAACAAGAGAAACAGTGTTGAAGAATATCATACAGAAACTTACCATCACTACATTTTCCATGTTATATGCATATGTTTGCTAATAACACAAGTTTGTGTTAAACCTGCAATAACTCTTTTAACTCTTGTGCAGTGACACTGGTTCAAACCCCAGTTGCCTTGGTCTTTCTGTGTGGAATTTGCATGTTCTCCCCATGTCTGCATGGGTTCTCTCCTGGTGCTCCGGCTTCCTCCCACCGTCCAAAGACTAGGTTGATTGGTGATCCTAAATTGTCCTTAGGTGTGAGTGTGACTGGTTGTTTGTCTATGTGTGGCTCCAGCCCCCCACAACCCTGTACACAGGATAAGCGGTTGATGATGGATGGATGGATGGATGGATGGAGTCATGTTTCTGGTCATCTGATGCCTGTAGGTCCAACATACACTCTCATTTAATCTCTTCTGAGGGAAATATTTGATTCTGAAAATGCTTAGAACGTTGGACTTGATTATGTTTTGCATCTTTAAGGCTCCAAAGAAAATGACCACTCCACTAATTAAAAAAACAGCTAACACTCACCATTAAGAATAGTAGAGTGTATTTGCAATGGAGATAATAACTCTCTGAGTTATCTAATGACATTCTGCTATTTTATTTTAATTAAATTTAATTAAATGTTTGAATTAATTTAATTCAAACAAAATGGAAACTATTGATGGCACCTGAAGAAGACCGTTCACATGCTCACACAAAATTTATGGATGTTAATATTATTTAAAAAAACAGAAGGACTATTGCACACTGAAGAAAGAATAGCCAAAATGTCATTGCATTTTGTTCCCCTGTGCTAAATTTTGACAATGGAAACAGAATAAAATAGAAACTTCATAAATGATATTTGTTATGTAATGTGATTGGTTGTGTGTGTCGGGTAAATTCACAACATACAATATACGTTTTTCTGCAGAATATTTTTCACTGTTAACTAATCAAGACATTAATATAAACATAAATATTAGGTATACTTATTTTGAAAGCAATAAATAAAAATAAAATCAATAAAATTTAATTTACTTAAAAAAAACAACATAGGATCAGTGGGTAATACAGTCAGGGTTTTAGCAGAGTGAGTTTAAGCTGTTCTGCCAAGGCCACAGAAAGTGCACAGTTAATGGACGCCGTCCTTCCCCGTTGGTGAAATCAATAGGGTCAGTCCCCAGTGTTCGGCTGGACCTATTGACTGTTCTAACCTCTTAATGGAGATGGGAGGAAGGAGGAGCACTTACATAGCCATTTGGAGGTGTTATTGCGGATCTTACAGATGATGATCAGAGGAGATACAGTACAACAAAACAAAACAGTACACCTGAGCCGGTTCCTTTCAGTCTGTCTCATTAAGGTTACAGTCTTCTTTTAAAGAGAGACATGGCCTTTGTTAGGTCTTTAATGCCTGATTAGGGTTAGCTGGTGACTAAAACAAAAACATCTACTATGTCATGACACAAAGCAGTTCTGAATGACTTTAACCTAAAAATGATATCTAACCCCAATGTGCTCCTTCGTCAGGAAAACGTGCCATGTTTTAGATTTGGCAGCCATGTGTTGTTGATATCGGGGCTGACACAAAACAATAGACCTTTATTCTAGAAAATATCTTTGGGTCAGTGTTGCTTCAAGTAGGCCAGAATCCTTTTTAACTTTACATAGCTACTGTTGTCCTGGTTTTGAGCAATGATGAACTAGTAAAGCCCTCCTCCACTCAAAAATGTCTTCTGCTTATTGTTACTTCACTTTGATGTTCACTTGGCAGTAGGAGGAAAAGTTTCCCTGTGCTCACCTAAAACTGAGTTTGCTTTGAAATTCTATGTACTGTAGAGTATCTGCATGTCTGCTCATCTCTCTTTCCCGCGTAGTTTAACCTATATCATTTAGCATGGATTCTTGCATGGTGTAGAGCAGAATTAGTGAAGTAACATTCAGACCACATTCTCTCTCCTAACAACAGTGACGTCAAACAACTCTGCAGGAGCTCTGAAAAGCCCAAGGTGACACAGAGATCAGTGTTTGATGGATGCACAACGTCTGGATCAGGTGGCATTAACAACACGCTCCCTTTCCCTCTACCTTTGTCCATGTATTTATGTGTGTGTGTTATTGTGACCTGGCTCAGCTCATTGCTTTTGTTAATTTGACAGGCTCAATAAACATGTCACCAGCCACCGCTAAATGGTATTTTCTCACAGTCAACCAGCCAGAACCGTCACCCTCTCCTGGTGCAAGTGAGGGAGGTGACCCATAACCCTTTGTGACCATCAATCTGCCTATTGCACACAACTTGCCACTGCCTCTCCAAACCAAAAAAGGTTTTAAAAAAAGCAAGAAAGAAAAGCAAGTTAACATCAGCCTTGGTGTCTGTGTGTTGATGCAATACTTTGTGAAGAAACACATCATCCAGCATCTCTTTAAATGTTCTCTTGAGTTTTAATGTTGGCATTTGCATCACATATATAAATACAGCATGTGGGCGTGTGCGTTTGACAGCATGGATGCTAAATTGAGAGAATGCGTGCACATATGTTCAGCATCTCAAATGGCTGTTCAAATGTGGGTGGGGGGCAGGTGCTGTTACACCCTCAAGGGAGTTGAGGACAGGGCCGTGAGAGGAGTGGATGTGGATGCCAAAATCACTCTTTAATGACTTAGGGGGCTGTGCTCATGTTGTGCTCGGGCCCCTGAGAGCCTATGTCGCTCATAAATAAGCTCCTGATTTGCACAATGAGCCTCCAGCACCTCTGTGCAAGTCAGAGGATGATGAAAAAGTAAGTGTCTTTAGATAAGATATCAACTTGAGATCAAGCAGGACACGTGAAGATCGCTTTAGGTATGACTGATAAGTATTATTATCACAAACAAAGCATTGACTGCTGCATTGCCCAGTCTTTTTTTCCCCAAACCTCATGAATTATTCAAATATTTCTGAATCCCTCATTGGTAATTTTACGAGCTGCATCATTAAAAGTAACTGCAAACACAGAAACATCTTTGTTTTGGGGTTGAAAAAAAGTTTTAACTTTCTGCAGCCTCTCCTGCTTTCTGCAGTCACATAGAGCCACACGTGAGCTGTCCATGGTGCTCAATGAAGGATCACTGCGTAACAATACCACCGGCGTCTTCACTGAGCTGTACATAGATATGCAGGATGCAGATATAATACAGCATGGCATCGTAGTATTCCACACCTTAAATGATCCTGTTCTATACGTTGCACTTCTACCTGAATGCTGCTGGGTAACAAAGTCCCCCCCAACACATACACAGCAGGCTCTGGATCAGTGCTCATTGTTTTTTGCGAAACAGCAGCAGGATCCTCCTCCTGCACAAGTCAGGAAGCATGATTGGTTGCACATGCCAGCCTTCAGCACTATCACCACAGCTGGTATATATTTAGCTGCCCCCCCCCAATCTCCTTCTTCTCTCCTAATACGCAGCCTCCTACCACCTTGTCAAGAAGTGCGTCATAGGCTTGTCAAGGGGGAGCCTCTGGGGCGAGGCACTCTCCTTCATCGGGCCTCCTTCAAGATCACACACACACACAGACAGAGAGACATGCAAAGACGCTCAAAACAGGACAGTGTGACACAAGATTATGTGAGACATCTGCAGATATAAATGTGTACAGTCCATGCGCAAACTGACATAATAATCTTTCTTTCTCTTTTTCCACCTTCAGTGCTGGACCAGTCTCTAAATGAAGCAATTCTAAGAAAAAGTCAGAAAAAAATATATAATAGTTTTCCTTTCAAGAGGATGAATCACAAGCACGTGCGCACATTGTGACTTTGCTCTGTGAAAGGTGCTATATTAAATACGCTTTACTTACTACTTTTACTAATTTACTAATTTGATCATAGATTCCTCCATTATTAGTAAAGTAAAACATACATTTGATATCTTGGAGGGATGCAAGGAAGAAGGTTCCAAATGGAAGTTTGAAACTAATTTATTGTTTGTTGGCTTTATTTGAGTTTTTATACAAACAAAAGCGACTTTTGCTTTATTTTCTCTTCTGCAGTTTTCCTATTGTGTTTTGATTGTTAGATATTTGGAAAAGAGACAAAAATCAAAGTGCACAGTGCAGGTTGATGCTGAATAGACAATAAGAACATTAGGAACATGGGGCGTAAGGGGAGAGAGTCTCTTCTCTTAATTAATGCAGCTAAGGCACCTGGATTGTGTATATGTGTGCGTGTCTTTGGATGGACATGCGCACGTGTGTGCCAGTAATTCCATATTTAGCCTTGCCTCTTAATGCCCTATCACCAGATGGGAGCTAGCGGTAGATGTGTGTGGTTAGAAGGGGGGTATTTCCCAAAACCCAAGCATCAGGCCTCCTTTTGTCCTCTTGCCTGTCACCGATGGCTTCACAGTGGGGTGACACACACACTCTAAATCTCATTAAAAAGTGAGAGATGTGTGGGGGGAGTGGGGGGGCTTCATGTCTAATGGGATTGGAGGAAACATATAACAGAAAGAGGCAGTGCTACAGGAGCATATAAAATACAACAGCAATCATCATGACTTTGTTCGCCTTTTGTAATTGTGACATTGTTGACCAACTTTGAATTTATACTAATAAAAAATGGAAAACCAAACACTCCTACATAAACTCATTCTATAGAGGTACACCACACACACTCACAGACAAACACTTCCTTTGATGCTTTATTGATTTCATGCTTTCAACAATACTTGTCCACCTAATTTCATTAGTTACAGTGATGTGACACATCTGATAGAGAGGTCTCAAAGCAGAGGGATTACACAAGGACAAGGACGACACTATCATCGCCTGCCCTTTTGTTCTGCGTTTAGAGAGACGGCTCAGTACAATCTCATCACTGTTGGGGCTGACCACCGAATCAATTTCCTACAACTCGTGTTACATAATCACAACCCCCACAAAAACACTTGTTAAATAATCTTCATCTTAAAAAACACAGTCCTTTCATCATCTCGTATTAAACCATTTGTTGTAATTGCCAGTAAGAATGACACAACAGCAAGCCCATTTTTACACCCTGCAATTTACCCATTAGGGTTAGAAACTGCTTTGCAATTGCAGGCAATTAC